AATAAGTACAATCTATATTTTTGAGACAGATTCTTTTTTTTTTTTTTTTATTTATTGTGTATACAATATTCTGTCTGTGTGTATATCTGCAGGCCAGAAGAGGGCACCAGACCTCATTACAGTTGGTTGTGAGCCACCATGTGGTTGCTGGGAATTGAACTCAGAACCTTTGGAAGAGCAGGCAATGCTCCTAACCACTGAGCCATCTCTCCAGCCCTTGAGACAGATTCTTGCGATACAGCCCAGGCTTGGAATTCACAGAGATTTGCCTACTCTACCTCCCAAGTACTGGGATTAAAAGTGTATGCTAATAAACCTTTATTTATTTAAAATTTTTGTTTGTAGTGGGAGATGGCACAATTATGCCATGGGGTTCATGTAGTGCCAAAGAGCAACTATGGGAGTTGGTTCCGAACCCAGAATCGCTGGTCTTGGCAACAAGCACCTCTAACCAATGAGCCATCTCACAACCCAGTATTTCAATTACTCATGAGTTATATAATGTAAAACTAACAAAAATTGTGGTGACAGGAGGGGCTGGAGAGACTGCTCAGTGGTTGAGAGCCCTTGCTGTTCTTGCAGAGGACCCGGTTCTCTTCCTGGCACCTGAGTGGTGGTTCACCACCAATGCAGCTCCAGTTCTAAGTGCTTCTGCTTCCTGAGGCACTAAGTGCAGATGGTGCATATACATACAAACAGGCAAAACACTCATAAAAATTAAAAAAAAAGTAAGATATTGTAGAGTCTATGCAAAATAAGCAAACTTACCCTTTATATCACCCAGAGAAGTGGACCCACCATGTGCTGGATCTGCCTCAGGCACAGACCCCCAGAAGCCCTGCTCTGCCATGCTGGAGGCCTGTCCCTCATTCTGCAGACTCAGGGCCAACATGAAGTCCAAGTGTGCATTATTTTCAGCACTCTCTCTTGGCGACTGCTGACTTCTATTCCTTTCCTGCCTTTCTTGTTCTTCAACTGGGAAGAAAACAACTCATTAGCACATTAGAGATTGCCACCATCCATGTCTGACAAGCTCTCAGGATTAACAGAAACTTGCCAACCTCACTAGCAACCTGAACCCTCTGCTGTCAGGGACTCTGAGCCTGCCGGGAGACAACAGTCCATTGGGATCATAAATAAATGACTAGTCAACAGTATTACTGAGCTGTCACTATGAGACATATACCATGCTGGACACTGCGCATGTCTTATCTGTGCTATGAGTAAGCAGACTCAGGCTGTGTGGACAACCTGAGTCTGACCTTTCCCTGTGCCTGTGAGCCATTAAGAATCAGAGAGCATTCTGTAGGTGCCTCGGGGACTATGGACACTGTCAGGCCTAGCACCATCAATCCTAACAGCAACAGCATACCACAAGGTTCCATCATTCCTGCTCTACAGGCAAGTCTAGCATCCTTCCCAGTGAGTGTCCTCTGTTTCTAGTATCAAGATCTATTGGCTCCAAAGTCCTGTTGCCCTTTTGTCCTAGGGTTGTGGCCTCACTCTCATTTCCTAAGGCAAAATACAACTCACCCAGATTATTCTGAACTGGAAAATGGGCTGTCGTGTTCCTCTGGCTGACAGTCCTACTGTGGAAAGGGTCCGACTCAAAGGCTCTCAGGGGCCTTCCAGGGAGTCTCATGGGAGGGTCCAGGGCCTCAATTTGTCTGAGGAGCTGGGATGCAATCCAGATTCCATCCTGACTCCAAGACTCATCATAGGCATCAGGAGGGATGGCAGCCTCATTTCTCTTTTCCTCCTCCACTCTCCCACAGACTTCAGGGTGGGTCTTCAGCTCTTTCACAAGCACATTGCGCCCACAACTGCCACACAGCTCTGTCCGGGCGCCACAGTAATCTTCATGCTCCTTTAGCTTGAGAACAGAAAGCTCCAGATCACAGTGCTGACAGACAGCAAGTCGTAGAGGACACTCAGTCTCCTGCAAGGCAAGGCGGAAAGGTGCTTATTCATAGGGAGGCTGGAGTTCAGCACAGGGCAAGAAAACTCCGACTCTGGCTAGAATGCTATGCTTTCTAAGAATTATGACCTGTGGGGCCTGTTTGATGGTTTTGCAAGTGAAAGTGCTTGCCTCCAAAGCTGATAGCCTGAGTTTGAAGTCCAGGACCTACATGGTGGAAGAAGAACTGACTCCTACAAGTTGTCCTGACCTCCACATTTGCACTGTGGCTCACAGACAGAACATACACACACTAACTAAAAGTAATTTAAAATAAAAGGAAAAGCCAGCTTTCAACATATAGAATAAGGCACAGACTTGGTTTCATATGTCCCAGGAAGGCCTCAACAGGTAAACCTCATTGGACAGACAGACTTGGTTCCAAAGGAGAAAGAATAAAATTCCAAAGGAAGGGAGTACAAGAGCTAGGTAGTCCCATCTGGCGGGAGTCAGCCAAAGCTTCAAATGGGCCTTGAGCCTGGGTCTGCACGAGAGTGGGTGGAAAACAGGCTGTGTATTGGCTTTCTTACTGCTCGTGGCTCTGATCTCACCGGGCTTGGCCCCAGAAGTCCCTCTTCCCAGGGTGAGACTAACCATATGCTGCTCTAAGTGCCTCTTCTCCAACTTCTTGTTACATTTGCATGTCACCTAGGATAAAAAGAGTCAATCAAGTGTCTCTGTAACAACATATTTTCCTATTACGTATCAGGGAATGGGCAATTCACCTGACAGTGCTCTGTGGCCATGTGAATGTCCATGTCAGATTTGGGGAATGGTTCCTTGCAGACAGGGCACACACCAATGTTCCTTTGACAGTGGATTTCATGGATGGTAAAATTAAACACAGGAATTTCCTTTTTGCTACAGAAATAAGCAAAAAAAAAAAAAAAAAAAAAAGGCAAACATTACTAACTGATCAATGATTTTTCTCAAAGAGTGATTATCACATGGGCACCCATCCTACAGGTCTTCGTCTCCATTAACATTTTGGTTTTATGCTTGTCTTTTCACACAGGATCTCATGTAGCCCAGGCTGGCCTCAAGTCACTATGCAGGAAAGACCTTGATCTCGCTTTCTCTACCTCCCAGGTGAGACTATAGGTGTGGATCACCATGCCCCACTTGTTTTTGAGACAGATTCTCACACTGGAACACAGACATCCTCAAATTCATAGCAATCTTCCTGCCCTAGCTTACTGAGTGCTGGAATGAAGGTGTTCACTACCTTGCCTGACTAACAATTTTTTATTTCTGTCTTGCTTGCTTATTTGCTGTTTTACTTTTAAGACAGGGTATTGCTATTGTAGCTCTGGTTGGCCTGGACCTCCTTCCTTAGCCTCTCAGGTTCAGGGAGCCTTCGAACTCTGATATTCCCATGTCCTGGAATATCAGATGCCATAAGAAAAGAGGTAACCACAAACAATTACAGGGGCTGGTGAGATGGTTCAGTGAACCAAAGTACTTGTTGCCAAGCCTAGCAACCTAAATGGGATGGCGGGTGGAGAGAGATCTAATCCCAAAAGGCTGTCCTTTGGCCTTCATTGCAGTGTGGCATGCATGTGCATGTGTACACATACAAAATAAAAACAAAATATACTAGACAGCATTTAGGAAGAAAGGATTTCCAACCACAACAAACTTTTCTACTAACTGCCTAGTTGTGTCCAATGCAATGTTGATGCTGTGGAATACCTTATCCCTTCCTTTAGTTATTTACTCATTTATTTTTGGTATTTCGAGATAGGGTTTCTCTGTGTGGTCCTGGACGTCCTGACCTCAAACTCAGATATCTGCTTGCTCAGAACATGTGCTGGGATGACAGAAAGACAGGCATGGTGGCACACAATATAGGAGCCAGACAGGTAGATTTGAGTTTGAGGCCAGCATTGTCTAGAGAGTGACTTCGATTTAGGATAGCCAGGGCCACACAGAGAAACCCAATGTTGAAAATGAAAGGGTGGGGAAGCGGGTCAGAGAGAGATGACAGAAAACTTCAAAGACCAAATGTTTTCTTGTTTGATTGGAAGGCTGGTTTTGTTTTGAAAACAAGATCTATGTAGACCAGGTTATCCTCTAACATACGAGAGATCCACCTGCCTCTGCCTTCCAGGTACTGGAATCAAAGGTATATGCCACCATGCCTGGCTAAAGACCAACATGGTTTTATATTCGGTATATTTAGTTTGTGTATATGGGTGTTATGCCTGCATGTATATATGTGTTCCATGTACATGTCTG